AAAGATTAAATATGTTGAGTATTTTTTTTAATGTTTGGGGAGTAAACCAATCATGTATCAGGTAAGAATTGTACATATATTGCTCATTAGTTCAGGTGGGTAGCTGTGTCAGCATGCGTAGGCTGCGAAGGAACAAGTCATAATAATAATAATAATAATAATAATAATAATAATTGCTTACACTTATATAGCGCTTTCCTGGAACCTCCACTCAAAGCGCTTTACAGGTAATGGGGACTCCCCACCACCACCAATGTGCAGCATCCACCTGGATGATGCAATGGCAGCCATAGTGCGCCAGAACACTCACCACACATCACCTATCACTGGGGAGGAGACCAGAGTAATGAAGCCAATTCATAGATTCATAGGCCATGATTGGTAAGGACCTATTGTGGTCCCCATCACTATACTGGGGCATAAGGACCCACATTGACTGCAGGGTGAGCGCCCCCTGCTGGCCCCACTAACACCTCTTCCAGCAGCAAACTTTTTCCAGGAAGTCTTTTATCCAGGTACTGATCAGGCTCACACCTGCTTAGCTTCAGTGGGTTTCCAGTTGTGAGGTGCCCTGGTATAGTGGTAGGGACACTATACTGTAGAGGGCGCTGTCTTTCAGATGAAACGTCAAACCCAGGTCCTGACTCTCAGCGGTCATTAAAGATCCCTGGGCTTTTCTTGATAAGAGTAGAGAGTTATCCTGGTGTCCGGACCAAATTTCCCCCCTCGGCCTTTACCATGTCCTCCAAATTGTCCCTACGATGGACTAGCCCTCCGTTCAGGGTGTACCTTGCCTTGTGCTCATTACTTGCCAGGTAGGCTCCGGCAACACCATATGGTATAAAGTGGATTGGCGAATGACATGACAAAGTTTGTTTCATAATAATCATAATCTTTTTAATAAAACAAAGTTGAAGTGGCACTTTTTCTTGTTTTATATTTTTACTGTTGATGCTTAGAGGCATACATTGATTATACAAGTCAGAGTAATAGAATAATAAATTGAGTGTTTCTTTAAGTTATAGGTCAGTTGTCAGTCAGATGTTAGTCATTCCAGAGGGTTATTTCCCTGGTTTTGTTGAAGACCTAAACAATTAAACTTCAGAAGTCATGAATATAATCACAGATAATGTTGATCTTCCAGGTGGGAGAGGAAATATGAACTTAATCCATCCTTCTCTACATTTGAATTAACTGCTATCAAACAAACATCCACAAGCTCATAGGATCCTTTAGAGCTAAAACAGATTGTATCCATAGGGATTTGTACATTCTTTTTAATAACTTCATAATCATCAACACAGAAAAAAACATTTTTCATAGTTACAATATAACATTGAACAAAGATGCAATGTAATTTAAAGTAAAAAATATCAGTCAAATGTTTAATTTCTATAATGTCTTTCAGATGTGAATGTGTTTTCTTAGTGAAAGTGATTCTTTAATGGTCATGGCTATGCTGTTAAACACTTCATTATTCAAAGTTTATCATGGTGAGATTCATGAACTACTCTCCAGCCTATGTGTTGATTAATGTTTTACCTGATATGTGTCCTTCCTGAAAGGAATTGCTTGTGTAGTTAAGCCATGACGTTATTTGTTGAAGTTAAAATAATATGAATCTTTAACATGTAAAAAATGTAAAAAAAACTCATTTGAAATCTGGATGATGCTACAAAAATTTAAGGAGAAGGAACTGAAAAATAGATCTGTCCAATTTTACTTTTCTTTAATTTCATGTACACAGTGTGAGTCCTTGACTGTTCCAAGAAGCACAGTAGCAGGATGCATTGATGTGATGTATTACATTGAAAAAGTTAATTGTGTAAGGAATTACGTTTAAAATTAACACCATCTAGAAGGAAGTTAATTTAATAGAATATTGAATCTTATTATTACTGTGTAAAGTAATGCTGAATTTATTAATTTAAGTATTTCTGAATTTCTTTGGACAAATTACTAAACTTGTAAAACAAATGGAAAACATAAATTAAATGGGGATAACATCTTACTGAATATTGTGTGTACTTATATCACTTTTAGAAAGGTTCCTGGTTCACAAACGTAGTCTGAAGAAAAATAGCTGTACCTCCAAATTCTAATATTGTGAATATTGTTTGTACTGATTAATTCTTACAAGACAAACAGCAGCAGTCTTACAAGACATTGCATCTTATGTAAGGTTTTAACTCCCTTTTGGTAACAAATGACAATGCTTGTGTGTTCCATTTTCTGAAAGCATTAACTTGACAGTTCTAATGAAGATATCTTGGATAGCTCATTGAAGTTTCTAAACTTCATTAAACAGAATAGCATTTCTTTTTCTAAGATATTATCGCTCTGATGATTGTATTCTATAAATGCTGTCACAAATCATCCTCTATCTTAACAGTCCCATCTCTCACTTTTAATCTTCATATGCACTGAGAAGTATTGATCAGAGATTGTTATCAATACTAAGTCCTTGACTCAAAGTTCTGTTGTGTTTTTGTCTCCTTTTACTATGTTTAGACATTGTTACAGTACATGCTTTCTTAAAGCTTCCAGAATAACCATCCAAACTTGGAAGTGGTCTTCTGTACTGCTACCTATTTTATTTAGCCTCATTGCTTAAAAGGTTCACTAAAGTTCTATTCCTCCTCTGTTTAGTAATCACAAGAAGAATTCCATTCATTTTCTTTTCTTCAGAATAATTAATTGAAACTATTTCAGCAAACATTTTGAGTAGAAAGGCTGTGTAATATTCCAAGACTTACCCCAGTGTAAACATCCGAATTCCATCCGAATTCTACTGGGAAAAGGTATGAATAATTGTTGGCTAAGCATGTGGATTTTATTAGGCTCTTTACAGTAACTTTAAAGTCTTGTATTATGGAGGTGCTTTCACAATTTGTACATCAACCCCAGAAAATGGCAGCTCTTCAGTCTTTATGACTTTCTGGGCTTGGAAATATCTAACTCATCTTCATTTTTGAAAATACATAATGTTCTGCCTCTGTACCACAATTTGTTTCATGGCTTTTAGTCTCCTGAAAATCCTATTGCTCAAATAGTCTTATTTAAAGTGCACAAACGGAAATATGAAAGACCTATTTCCCATTATATATACATAGCTTTTCTGCCCGGGGAGTGTGAGTAGAATACAAATTGAATTGCTATGGCTGGCATTTCTCCAGCTGCTTGTTAAATGTTGCCATGCTCATAAAATATGTATTGTTTCTTCTGTGTTATCAAGAGGTTTATTATGTCTTAGAGAATTTGGGGAGGAAACTGGATTTAAAAAAAGATTTTCTGCAAAATCTATAGAACCTATTTGTACAAAAGTCTAAACAGGAAGCAATGTGCATTTAATTTGTTAAACATTATTTATGAAAAGTGCAGCAAAGGTTTAAAGTAAACATTTGTTTTTATGAGAGGGAACTCAAGAGGCCTGAGTACTTGTTCAGGATTAAGAGACAATCCTGTGTGAAAGCATTCAAACGTACCATTCGCAGTGGGTTCTAGATGCATTCAAGTTCCAAATTTTTTTGGATCATTTAAGAGATACAAATTAGGCATCACAGCTGACTGGTGTTCCTAACACCTAATTTTTCATTTCTGCAAGAGCATTTTGAACAGTTCTAAAGGCTCAAAATGTGACGTACAAATTGCACCTTGTTGTCAGTATGACTTCCCTTGCAAATATGTGAGGTACAGGTGCAATGTACTCTATAATTGGAACATTCAATTTTTCAGCCCTCCTGCCTTCATTCTCTTGCCACTCTGTAACTCCACAAATGCTTTGTGTTCATCTTTGCCCATGCTGCTGGTTGCTGTCTCCCTCTCCCTTCTTCTGTGGCTCCCCCTGGGGGAGAACCACCTTTCTGCAGGGATCAGGAATTCATCATTCGCTGGCCAACTTCCAGCATCTTGTAAAACTCCCCTGGTGCGACTGCATCTCTAGTTCGTTCAATCTGTCTCACGGCCTGGACAATATATAAAGTGATACCACCAGCGCGGCTTCCCATTGCCACAGTTCACAGCATGAGCACTTGTTGCATTTACTGTTGTGCTGTGAGCTCCCTTTTCAGGCCTTGCTGCTTATTGGCTGCTTATTGGCTGTTGCCGCTGTTTTAGAGAAGAGTTTATTGTCATTTGCACAAGTGCAATGAAATGCTTATGTACAGTATGCTCCTATCCGTAGACATCAAGGAAACACCAAAAAAAAAAAACAGCAGCAAAAACAACAAGTTAAATAACATACATCTTATAGAAAAAAAAACACTGTATTTCTGTTTTGCACTGTATTTCTGCTTCACTGTGTAACTTACGATTATGGAGTGTCCTGCAATTAGTGCACTGACATATTGAACTTTTTAGCTTTGCTGCTGTTGCTAAATTATGGTGTGCTAACTTTTCTTTTTCCTTCTCAGATTTCCTTATAAACTGTAGTTCACCTCATGCTGATGTGACAGCCAAATAGATACTGTAAATAGTAGTATGAAATCACTATAGCCCTGCAGACTGCCATATTATGCAGTAGCATTTCATTCAATATGAACAAGTAATAGGTTTATTCCATGCTGAAAAGAGAAGAAAGAAAACACAACGTTTCGGCCGTGGAGCCTTCTTCAGGTGTGATTTTTTATTCAATATGATCAATTCATTTTATGCTAATGTGTAATTTCAAATAAGGAATTTATACCCATTCTCCTATTGTAGCTGCAAAACCTCCTTGAAATCACAGGCCTTTTCCACTAATGATTTTTTTGTCCATTTAAGGCCTGCATTTCAGTCCTTTTTTATTGGTTTAGAACTGCCTTCAAAACCAAAAGGCTTTTTGGCTCTGCAAATATAAGTTATATATTCAAACCCCACTGAAGAATTTCTTCATAGGATAATTCTTTTTCCTCAGCTTGAGAGGGAGAGCGAGGTATTAGCACTGGCTAGCTTATAGCTGGAAAAGCAGGAGCTTTTGAAACAGAGAAATGAGACTGATAGGATTTTTTTTTCTGTTGCAGTTCATCACCAAGTGAAGCAGGGGACATGTGAAGTTGTTGCAATACACCGATGCTGCAACAAAAACAAGATAGAGGAGCGTTCTCAGACAGTCAAATGTTCCTGTTTTCCAGGACAAGTGGCAGGAACAACAAGAGCACAGCCTTCATGTGTAGAAGGTAACTGTTTTTTCTTGTTCTTTAACACATTGTCACATCTGCCCTTCCAGGTGGCTCAATCAGTGAAGGCAGTTGGGAGCACAAGTTGTGGTTCAGACATCATTGTTTTGGGCCTGGGGATATCAGAAGCTGATTATGTCTGGGATTCCTCCAAGTGGAGCTGCTATGTTGCTGCTCAATGTCTATGCACTGCCAGGGTATCATGAAGGGTATCATGAAGAGGCACCTGTGCATTTGCAGTGCTTGTCGTGAATGGATTTACCCTCTCCTCTCAGCACTTACTCTGCTGTGGGATCTCTGGAGCTCACTGTATAAAAAATATCAGTTGCCTCTGACATGAAAACAGTCCTTATCCTTCCTGCACTGGAATGATGGTTGCTGTGGTACACTGAGTTGCTTAAAGATTAATACCCTGTGGAGAGAGGAGGGATATAAAAAAATGCAATTTTGAAAGAAAAAGCTTTATTGCACACATTTAGAAACCAAATCAAAAGGACTTAATGCACTACATACCTCTACACAGTATGACTCCCAAAGTTCCTTGTGAAATGTCCTCTTTTTTTTACAGCTTTAAATTAATACACTTACTTAAATGCAGTTTTACTGTACTTCTAACCTCCTGTAGTGCTCTTCTGTAAATTGTTCTCATTTTAAGTAACTTTTGCCATGGAGATGCGATATTGCCTTGAGTCACCTAACACCTGTACATGACTAACCTAACAAGACTGGGAGAATTCCATACTAAAGCATGTACAGTAATATTGTATTGAAGAGATCTTATTGCTGTTATTTTTATTATTCTCTTCTCAGTTCATTGCCTTAATGGGAAGGGCAAAAGATATGCAACACTTGAGTCTGTTGGGTGGATCTTCACTTGGAAGCATAAAATGAAATCCATAATCTTTCAAAAGAACTGGAATTGTATTTTCCTCATAGCAGCATGGATTTCAAGCATGTGTTTGTTTTGAGAGTCACTCCCCCTCCTTTTTGGAGTAGTTAGTTCAAAATAAAACTGAATGACAGAATAGTAATCATTGCATTTCAGTTCATTTTGGTTGGCCTTCTTTCTAAATTACCTAAGTAAAGATCTGCTAATGTTTGCCTATGGAGATTTGAACCTGGTACTTTCAAATCTCCAATGTATCTTGCGGATGCAACCAAACAAATCTTACTATAGTCAAAACAATTGGAAAGTGGTTTTAGAACAAAAAAGTAAACGTCAAGCTTTTTACATTCAAATTACATGAAAGTGTGACTACTTTTTCATTTCAAAATCATGCTCAAATGTGCAATCATGTGAAAGGTCATGGATGGCAGTCTTTAAGTAAAACCTTGCCTTTTGATAAAAGACGGCTCTTTTTAACACACCGTACCACCCATAGATTCTTGGAGAAGATTAGGAGAAGCAACTTTAAGCTTGTTTGTTACATTTATCTTTTATAATGGTGTTGGGAGTACTAACAATTTCTAAATATGTTATTGCCTGATTTTATGGTTTGTCAGTGCACAAATCTATGGATAAAGAGTGTAAATTTCTTATTGTATAAGAACAAGTCATTCATGTGAAGAAATCAGGATCTTGTGCTGTGGATCCTTGTATGAGTCACAATTAAAGTGAGTCTGGTTCAGCTCCTTCTTCAGTTCCCTCTGGTCTGCAGTTCATGATCTTTAATTGCACGCAAATCGGCACAGTTATCTTTCTGTTCTCTCGAGATGGCAATACTCAAGTAGCAATTTCGGTTAGAAACCGGAGAAAACATTTGAACACTGCAGACTTTATTCACCAAACGTTTCCATCCAATTCAGCATTAACAGCATTTTTATTCTCTATCAAGAAATAGAAGTGGACATCTAATTTTTTCTAGATAGTACTTTTATACAGATCTCTCAAACTATTTACCTTGATTCTGCTTTGAAACTTCTGCAAATGTTTTTTTTTTTTGGTTTCATGATTGATGGTGTAAATTGGAAAGTGGTGGTAACACATTTCAGTAGCTAATTTCAAACTGTAATTTGTCAAATGTTAAGTGACACCAAAACACCCCGTCTTTTGACTGCTAGAAGGCTATAAGGGCATTTGCAGTACAATAATATGGGAAGAAAACTAAGGCTTGATTCAATCGACATGTGGCCTGCCAGGACTCAGGATTTTATTATGAATTTTATATAAATAGCAAGTGTTTAAGTCGATCAAGACCTAATCTGAGGTCTCCTCCAAAACCTCCACATAAGTGAGTTTATTTCAGTAATCTTTACTATTAATACTATATTATTAGATACTATTTCAAAACATTATTTTCTAAGTTATTACACAAGAACATAAAAGTAGAAATAGAGGAGGCCATTCAGCCAATCTAACCCATTTGTTTCTTCAACAAAACCAGGGATCCAGCTTCAATAACATGGTTGGGTATCTTGTTCCCTACTCCCAGAGCCCATTGCAAAAATTCAGTTTACACTAGCCTTGTTAGCAATGTGTGGTTTCCAGATAATTGGGAGAAAATATTAAATACTTCAAAGAGGAAATAAATTGTTTCAGTATGAGTCTGGTGATTCAAGGTAAATTGTAAATAACATTTCTTCATACTTTTACAAGTGGAGTTTAGAAGAAGAATTTAGTAGCAAGAGGTACAGTACATGTCCATTTGAAGAATGAGAAGATTTGTACAGTGACCTTGTTTTAAAAGCATAGGGTTACATTCAGTATGTTAAGTAGAATGCTTAAACACAACTAATCAGGGTCAGAAGCATGCTATCCATTTTTATTTTGTTTATTCTTTGCATTCTTCACTAGGGCTAAAACCGATTTAACCTGCTATGCATTATACAGTCAATACCTGTCTAAATGAGGTCATTTCAAGCTTTATGGCACAGGGTTGAGTTTTCTAGCTTAATCCAATTTAAAGCCATAAATAGATTTAAATTGGTATCTACAGTACGAGTTTTCTGTATTCAGAATTGGCTGATTCAGCTGATGCAGTACATTGTAAATCACCTTACATTTTACTTCATGCTACGTGGCACAACCCCAGTGATGACTACAATTACAATTATTTTTGTAGACCAATTAAACCTACTGGTGTGTTTAGGGATTGGATGTTACTAAATCATTCTTGAAAGATGGATGTTAGTAGTTTTACAGTGAGGTCTAGTGAATAGGACTGTTCAATGTTAGTGGGGCTTCAGATGGTGAATCCTCTTTTCGAAGTCAGCGGGCTTCTTCACCCTTGCTCCTACAGTTGAACTAATCAAATCAATTCATGATATGTAGCACTGCGCATCACTACAATCTCTTTAAATGTTAATAACCTTAGGGCTGCTGCTCAGAGATTCATCACCTAGAGTACAAAAATTCCATAAGTGGCCTACATATAGTGCATGCAAGTCTTGCACTACTAAGCATGCTTAGTATGTATGGAAATTGTGTAAATGCATAGTCCAATATGATCCTGTGCTGATCATTGATGGAAAGCATACACATATACTGTACATATGCATGGGTATACAGAGCCCTTTCAGTCTCAAATACACTAAAAGTGACCTGTAGATTATATAATGACACATCATCATCATCAGGTGTGAAACAGAAGGAACATGGTCATGGCCTGTTATTATCTGGTCCTGTGCATGGCCTGACACAGAAGGTCATTCATTAGGCTGTTTATACTACAGTTGTGGAAAATCTGAAACATTTACTGGTCTGGGGTATGTGAAATGCTCATTTTAATATTGGTGAGTGTGTGTTGAAACACTTGAACAATTGTTTAGTTCTTGTTTCATTTATTGCTCAACTGAGATATCTGTTTTACTGCATTACATCCTTAAAAAATGTACTGTATGTCTTGGGCAGAACCTCTGAAAAAGTCAGAGCTAGTACTGTATCACATCTGTCCAGACTGTCTGAAATGCTTCTTGGCCAAGAGACTGCAAGAGTTGCAATAATAAGGTTGTCCACATGATGTCAGAAACATTTCAACAAAACAAACAAACACCTTAGAGGTTTCTGGGTATAGAATGCTCTGCTATATTAAAAAAAAACTGAGAAGAGCTTAGCTGCAGTGATTCTCCATGGTCAGTCTCCCTTCAATCCTGTGTGCCATTTTCTTAAGTGCATAAAATATCAAATGAATGTACTGTAAATGCTGCATGGAATTAAACTGCATCATGTTAAACACCCACAGAAGCATACATAATGCCCTGTGTGATGTTCCTAAATAGTCTTCTGTACCAGGCTCTGCTGTGTCTTTTTATTACTTTTTAACATCAAAATATTTTCCAAAATGTGATTTTCTGGATTGCATGTGTGAAAATAAACATTAGTCAGAAAGTTCAGATATTACATAATGTGTCAGTCTTGGACGCAACCTTTGTTCTGACACAATCAGTGACATTTGTCAGTGTTCCAGCAGACCCATAAATTCCACTAGACTAAATTTGAAACCCCATATCTGACATTTTGCGCATGTTACCTCCAGAAGCTCATTAGCAAAGTGATTCAGCTTCCCCAAGATTAGATCACAGCCATTGCATTGCTTGTAACTATGTATAACCTATTTTTCTGTTGGCTATAATTGGATCTTAAGAGTTTCCTTTTGTTGCAAAGAGGATTTAGTAAAGAGTGCTTTGTGTCTCAAATGACATTTTTGTTAAACTCATGTTTCTCAAAACAGTAAGAGGACAAATTGCATTGGATTAGCTTTGTGGAGACAGCTGGAGAAGATGTCTATTTCATTGGATGTGGACGTTTTTTTTTCAATTATTTAACACATCCAAGTTTTCTTTTGAATAGTGTTGACCAAGGCAAGAGGCACACCCATAAGTTATGTGATAGAAAAATAAAGATCTTCTTGTGTCTCACATGTTCAGGATGATGGTCATTTCCTTTTGGGCCTGTGGATGGCAGCTGTTTCATTCTACGGTTTTTGGCAGAAATAGTTAGATGTGCACTTTCATTTTCTCCAAAATTCATTCAGAAAACTCACTGATGGCAGCCATAACAG